GCTGACTCTGCAAACTGCTTAGAGAGGGCTGCAAAGCACTACGAAGCGGTCTATAAGTTTAAGTGCTATTCCTATTGCCCTTCCTTCCTTCCCTCCCAGTGGTTAGAATACAGCATTTCAGGCTAACTCTGCCCACTGCCAGGAGTTCGATCCTGACCGGCTCCAGGTGGACTCAGCCTTCCGTCCTTCCGAGGTGGGTCAAATGAGGACCCAGATTGTGGAGAGGGCAAGACCCTGGCTCTGCAAACCACTTAGAGAGGGGCTGTAAAGCACTGGGAAGCGGTATGCAAGCGCCATTGCTATTGCTTCTGCTTACCTGGGCGTTTCTGTCCCCTGCAGCGTTTTCCTCTTGCTCACTCGATGCCCGAGCCGTGTCGGTGACCCTCCGGTGATTAAAAGCTTTCTCCGCCAACTTTGCAGCTTGAGGGAGGGGGAAAGAGGCTGGCATCAAAACAGGCTGGCATCGTTCAGAGCAGCGCTCCTGCCACAACATTTGGAGCACCGAGGACCGGTTCCGTGGAGAGAGCTTTTCCCGTGGAGCGGAAGGGAGGGGATTTCACGTGGTGCCTGCATCCCACGGACGGGGCTTCGCTTGTTTGCATGGACGGGTGGCTGGCATGCCGTGGCCCATTGCTGGGGTTGGGGAGCCCTGATTTAGAGAACCTTGTTGGGAAGGCCGGGGTGACCAGGGGACCCAGCGATCCCTCTCCACACTCCACCCCTTCCTGGAAGATTACAACACACAAACACACCCCTTCCCAAGTTCCGGTTGCCACCTTTGCTGGCCCCGATACCTTCAATTTCTTCAGCGCGCAGTTGGCGGATAGCAGCTCGGATGAGTTTCCGTTCCTCGTATTCGCTGGTTCCTCGCAGCTGAGAAGGGAAGCAGAGTCAGCGAAGGTACAAAGGGATCATTTCCTCCCTTTGTGGCCCCGAATGGGAGGCCACCTGGAGAGCCTAGATCCATCGGCTGGAAGCCCAAGCCATTTTCTTGGTGGAAAAACAGCAATAGCCCTTAGAGTTATATACCGCTTCCCAGTGCTTTCCAGCCCTCTCTAAGCCGTTTACAGAGTCAGCCTCTGGCCCCGCAACAATCTGGATCTTCTCATTTTACTGACCTTGGAAGGACGGTCAGAAGGCTAGTCAGGATTGAACTGCTGACAGTGATCAGTGAGTTATCCTGCAACTGTTGCAGTCTAATCATTGTGCCACCATGGCCCTTCCTTCCTTCCTTCCTTCCTTCCTTCCTTCCTTCCTTCCTTCCTTCCTTCCTCCCTCCCTCCCTCCCTCCCTCCCTCCCTCCCTCCCTCCCTCCTTCCTTCCTTCCTTCCTTCCTTCCTTCCTTCCTTCCTTCCCACCTAGCTCTTAGACTTATATACAGCTTCACAGTGCTTTACAGCCTAAGCAGTTTACAGAGTCAGCCTCTTGCTCCCAATAATCTGGGTCCTCCTTTTATCCACCTCGGAAGGGAGAGTCAACCTTGAGCCAGTCAGGATTGAATTGCTGGCAGTGGGGCAGAATTAGCCTGCAATACTGCATATTATGGCCACTGTGCACCATGGATGGAAGGAAGAACAACAGCAATAGCACTTAAGACTTATACACCGTTTTCCAGCCCTCTTTAAGCGGTTTACAGAGTCAGCCTCTGGCCCCCGACAATCTGGGTCCTCATTTGACTGACCTCAGAAGGAAGGACAGAAGGCTGAGTCGACCTTGAGCACGGTGAGATCCAAACTGCCAAACTGCAGGCAGCCGGCAGTTAGCAGAAGTAGCCTGCAGTGCTTGCACTCTAACCACTTATATGCCGCTTCCGTAACGCTCTATTGGAATGCCCCCCTCCCGAGCTCCCAAGAGAGCCTCTCTGGGAGAGCCAAGCTGACCTACCAAGCTGGTCAACTCCTCCACATCCTGGATGGTCTCCAGCTTTCTCGAAAGGGCGTCCAGGGACTTCTGCTGCCGCTGCTCCTCCTCTCGCTGCCAGGACCTGAAGGGACAAAAAAGCAAGAGAGAACATCGCTGGGGAAAATGCCCCCAAATTCTTCGCCTGGCCTGGCCTGCAGCAACGGGATCCTAATCGGCTCCACTACCAGTTTGACGATCCCACACGCGCAGCTTTCCCCACGCCAGCGGAGTCCTGCAGGCGCCAATCAGCAGAGCGGAGAAAGAACAGGAAAGGGCAGGGGTGGGTAGGAGGGCTGATGACCCTGCACTTTTCTCTTCTTTCTCCTCCCGGCTGATCGGCGGAGGCCTTTTTTTTTTTTTTACTATGGGTTCGGCCGGGAGGAAGCAACAACAAGAGATAAAGTCTCCTTTAACCAACATGACGCAAGCAAAAAACTACAGGGTTAATTACAAGTGGAAGGCGGTTGGAAGGGCCTATTGCGCGTGCAAGGGCTAAATTGATTAATGATGTATAAAGGCGGAGATCTCTGTAATGGTAGCTTAATACTCTGACGAGGCTGACGAAAGTTTAGGAAGTACAATAAATGTAATTGTAAGTTCTGGAGATCGCAGGATGTCTGTTTCTTCCTTTACATACATACATACGTGTGTGTGTGTGTGTACATGTGTGTACGTGTGCATGTGTGTGTATATATATATATACAGACTCACAGACGAACACAATACAGAAGCCTGATGATGGCAGATGAGATTCTGCCGAAACGTTGCTACAACTTTAAAAGCACAACTACTATGACGTGGGAAAATACCCGAACAAAGCTGAATAACATACATGTAAGTACCCGCGAAAACTTATGAATATATATATATATATATGTATACACACACACACACACACACACACACACACATATATGCACACACACATATATATACACACAAACACACAATTACATACACATACACACACACACACATATATATAAATTTATATTTATTATTTATATTATTTATATTTATATTATTTATATTTATATTTATATTTATACGGCTGCAGTGTCCGAAGGTCACGCAATCCCCCTTTTGCAACCTTCTGACAAGCAAAGGGGAGCCAGATTCGCTTAAAGAGCACGTACTACTCGTTTAACAACTGCAGGGATTCCCTTAACAACGGTGGCAAGAAAGGGCGTAAAGCGGGAGGAGAACCTTCGCGGAACAACCGTCTCTCTTAGCAACCCAAACCTTGGGCTCGACGGCGGCCGTTCAGTCGAGGACGGCCTGTGAAATAAAACGCTTGCGGGGAGGGTTACAAGGCTGGTTACAAGTTACAAGGTTACAAAGTGGGGTGCAAGAGGGAAGCGGGGACCCCCCCCCACACACACACACTCACCTCAGCCGGTTCTCCTTGTTCTCCTGCCGCTCCGTCCGAAAGCGCTTGGACGCCAGCGCCTCCTCGTCGCGCTCCAGCTCCTGCCGGCGCAGTTCCCGGATCGCCGAACGGATCTGCCTGCGCTCAGCCAAGTCCAGGGTGGCCTCCAGCTGGGGGGGGGGAGGGAAGGGGAGAAAGAGTAAGAGGAGAGTCATTCAGGGACAGGTCAAGGGCGTTGCGGAGGCCGCCCCGCCCCGCCCAGGCATTCCCCAGCCTCTCTTTGGCCGCCCCAGGGCTAGACACACAATGGGCGCAGTGTGAGCTTCTCACAAAGTGCCACTGTCCCTCCGGCCGAGCCCTTGCGCTTTCCCCAGGCTTAGTGGCTCACGCACGCAACTGTCCGTCCGCCCCTCCCACCAGGCTTGGCCACGGCCCCAAACTCTCCACCACTTCAGCCTGGGGTACGGCCACCTCTGGATCATCCTGCAAAGGAAGATGCCTGCCTGTCACTCAGGACCCCCAAAACTCTCCAGCTGGCTTCAAAGAACAGATTAAATGACACTCGGCGGAGGCAGGAAGCAGGGGCTGTGTGTGTGTGTTGTGTGTGTGCATGCATGTGCGTTGAGTGTGTGTGTGAGTGTGTTATTTTACACATCTCGGAAGATGGAAAGCTGAGTCAACGTTGAGCCTGGCGGGATTTGAACTGCCAAATTGCAGGCAGCCAGAAGTAGCAGTACTGCACTCTCACCACTGTGCCACCGCAGCTCTTAGATTTTCGGCTCCATTGTGTCCGTAGGTCAAGGACCACCTGTATTTACACACGCATAAAGTCCACACACGCGGGGAAGGGAGAAACTTGGGAAAGAAGAGTTGAGCAATTTGTCCTTCGGCATCCCTGGTTCTGCGCAGGCGGCTTGGGCAGGCAGGCAGGGACACCGGCCCAATTACGCTCGGCAAGAGATCGCGGGGCGCCTCAGGGCCTCCGAATTCTACAGCAAGTGGACAGGAACTTGCTCAACCAGCCTGGAGGAAGCCGCGGACAGCTCACCCTCCCCTTTGCCCGGGCTAGTTATCGCAAGATGACGGGACACAGACGGGGCTGGGAAAGACGAAGAGGCCCTGGGAAGACTTGCAGTGTGTAGCTGCGAAGGACAAAATGCTCCAGAGGCAGCAGGAATGTGTCGGTTTTACAAACTCAGAGCTTTACATCAAGGCCCCCCCAACCTTTCTGGCACCATGGGCTGGTTACGTGGAGGGGGATTTCTCCACGGACCGGAAAGGGGTGTGTGTGTGTGTGTGATTTTGCGTGCGGCCTGCAACCTGTGGATGGGGTTTCGCTTGTTTGCACGGCCCGGCATGCCGCAAACTGATGCCGATTCATGAACTGGAGTTAGGGACAGAGTCCAGGGGCAGACAGAATTTGACCAGGTGTATGGCTAGTCTAGAAAAGGACTCAGACCGTGATGGCGAACCTATGGCACACATGCCAGAGGTGGCATGTAGAGAGCTCTCTGTGGGCATGCAAGCCGTCACCCCAGCTCAGCTCCACTGTGCATGTGTGCAGACGCCTCCTGCTGGCCAGCTGGTCTTCAGGTCTCTGCCATGCATGTGTGGGGGAGGCACACAAATGCGCAGGGGGCGTGGCGCATGTACAGGGGAAGGGGAAGTATTGCATTTTGGGGGTGCACACGCACGCGCTTTGGGCTCTCGGTGCCAAAAAGGTTACACATCACCGGACAAGGGGGTGCCATGATAGCAGTCTTCCAGTATTGGAGGGGCTGTCCCAAAGAAGAGGAAAGGGTTAACCTATTTTCCAAAGCACCTGAAGGCAGGACAAGAAACAACGGATGGAAACTGAACAAGGAGGGACGAAGTAACCTGGAACTAAGTTGAAACTTCCTAACGGTCAGAAAAATTAACCGGTGGGCTCTTTGGGGAAAGGGGTGCCAAAAGAAGGGAAAAGAGAAATGCAAACAAGGGAAGGGGGGGAAAGGAAGGAGGGAAAGCCAGTTGGATGGGGAGTGGGTGCGTGTGTGTGGAGAGAAAGAGAAGGATCAAAACAACCTAAAAGGACGGGAGAGTTTCTCCTTATATGGACTAATTTCCTCGTAGCTGCAGCCGAAGAAAAGGGAGGAATTAATTCAAGTTCCAGAGACAGAAAAGTTGCTGTCAAGAAGGAGAGCTGTGAAAATATCTACAGATCCCTCACATCCTGGATGTAGGCTGGGTCAACCTCTTCCTTCAAGACGACACTATAGGGCATTGCATGCCAGAACGACACAAATATCGTATATTTCCCCGTCATCACTCTGCTAAACAACTCATTCTCACAACACTGTCAAACAACCTAGTAGGGCTGTAATAATAATAATAATCATCATCATCTTCCTTCTCATCTTTCCTATTACCTATTTCCTTATCTTCTTATGACTATCCCTGTGTTGCTTGTATCTTATGATTTATATTGCTTGTTTTATTTAGTATACTGATAAGGCTTTTGCTGGTTGCTTACTTAGTATCCCAGGACTATTACTGAGGGTTGTATCTAACGATTTATGAGGATTGTGTTTTATGATGATTATGATCATGATTTATCACTTTTGACTTATATGTACACTGGGGAAACAAATTTCTTGTGTGTCCAATCACACTTGGCCAATAAATAGTTCTGTTCTGTTCTATTCTATATTCTTATTCTATTCTAAATTCCTATTCTATATTCTTATCCTGTTCTAAATTCTTATTCTATTCTAAATTCTTATTCTTAATTCTATGCCATGCCATGCCATTCCTATTTCTATTTGTAGTTGCTCTTCTTTGCACTTTTCGCAAAGTCTCAACATCTGTTTTCTAATGTGGTGACCAAAACTGGAGGCAATTTTCTAGCCGTGGCGTTACTATAAGGCTTTACATAGCGGTACCAATCCTTCATGTGATTTTGATTCTATGCCCCTAGTTATACCTCCAAGGAGCGTATTAGCTTTTTGGGCCACTGTCGCACACGGCTGGCTCGTGTTTCAATCAAACGCTGTTCTACCCTAAAAATGGTTTAATAATGCTCAATTCTCCTGCATCCTATTGAAGGAGGATTTAGGAGATAAAATGCTGCAACTTTACTTTGCCCAGATCAAACAACAACCTTACATATTGCAGACCAGACCAAACAACCACTTTACATATTGCAGATCTGCTTGGATGAGAACAACACTCCCTTTATACAAATGTTTGCTCCGCGTTTGTGATTTTGCACTCTTGCACACTTATCTGCACCTGTTGTGTCTGGGATATAAACTGGGTGAAGGGAACTCCCTATCTAAGGACCATCCTCAGGTAGAGTGGTTGTCCGCCATCTTCAGGCAATCCCGAGTATTGCATCAGTGGTGGGATTCAAATTTTTGTGACTACCGGTTCTGTGGGCGTGGCTTGGTGGGCGTGGCAGAAGGTTCCTGCAAAATCCCCCTTCCCTCCCCACCCCACTAACCTGCTTTCCAGCTCCATTCTCCTGTGCAGGGCAACCAAAGGAGACCCAGCCAATCAGCTGGGACTCGGGAGGAAGGGAATAGATGGGGGTGGGGCCAGTCAGAGGCGGTTTTGGCCAGTTCTCCAAACTACTCAAAATTTCCGCTACCGGTTCTCGAGAACCGGTCCGAACCGGCTGAATACCACCTCTGTATTGCATTCCTTGGATGTAGAAAGATCTAGAATCTGGGGGAGAGTTTGGTAGGTGAGTGAATTCCCTCTCTGGCTGGTTGTTGTGAAAGACATTTTGCAAAGCCAGGGGAAAGAAAAGAAAAAAACCCAGGAACTGTGTTAAGCCACAAAAGAGGAGTAATAATATTCCAGGTTTCGGGGTTAAAGGCCTTTCTCAGCCCAACCAGGAGGCCCGTGAGCTCTGCACCAAGGAAACTTGGGAAGCAGGTGTTTTGCCACCTCACCACGCCCCTTTCCCCAGGTATTTCCAACAGCTTGTTTCCCCTTCCCACCACAACAGCCGGGAGGGAGGGGAGGAGGGAGGGGAGGAGCTGCCTTTTCTCATCCTTTAATAAACTAGCAGCGTCTCTCAACCGTGGCGACTTTTAAGACTTGTGGACTTCAACTCCCAGAATTCCCCAGCCAGGTGTGGAAAAAAATGGTCATAGGTTGTGCTGGCTGGGGGAATTCTGGGAGTTGAAGTTATGTAACTTAAAAGTCACCACGGCTGAGAAATATTGAACTAGGATAGGGGTCTTCAAACTTGGCAGCTGAAAGACTTGGGGACTTCAACTCCCAGAATTCCTCCTCCAGTCATGTCAGCTCAGGAATTCTGGGAGTTGAAGTCCACAAGTCTTAAAACTTGCCAAGGTTGGAGACCCTTGTGACAGATGATAGATACATGCATAGATAAATGATAGATAGATAGATAGATAGATAGATAGATAGATAGATAGATAGATAGATAGATAGATAGATAGGAAAATAGGCAGGTAGGTATGGAGAGAGAGATGATAGATAGGTGATAGATCAAGGGTCTTCAAACTTGGCAGCTGAAAGACTTGGGGAATTCAACTCCCAGAATTCCTCCTCCAGTCATGTCAGCTCAGGAATTCTGGGAGTTGAAGTCCACAAGTCTTAAAACTTGCCAAGTTTGAAGACCCTTGAACTAGGACATAAAAATTATAATATGACCTCCATGTTGGGGACAGTAGCTCCATTCCTTACGTGCCTTGTAGCCCAGGTCCTGGCTGGGACCCATGGGAGCTGGAATCCCCCAGCCAGCGAAAGGACAGGAACTCTCCAACCCCCCATCCTTTGAGAAAAGCCGCCTGCCAGCCAAAGCCTTCCTGGTGGGCGATGCCTCATCTGGCGGAGGTGAGTGTCAATGGGTTCAAGTCTGAACAAGGCTCTCCCCCTTCCAGGCAGGGCCGGGCCTTGGCGCTCCTCCCCATAGCACAAACGGCGAGGAATCCCTGCCATGGAGCACAAAGGGCCCTTGTGTGCTGCAGGCAGCGCTGCCTTCTCTCCGGCGGCCGCCGGGCCAGGTGAGCCCAAAAGAGAGAACAGAAGACAAACTGGCTTGGAAGGAAAACGGCTCCCAAGGAAGCAGAGCTTTTATATTGGGGGCCACGGACAGACGGGGAGGGGGGCAAATTGAGGCTCCCCCTATCCAACTGCACCTTTGTAGTTCAGCTAGTCCTTGACCTGACCCAAACCGAGCCCAACGTTTCTGCCCCCGAGTGAAACTTTTGTTAAGGGTCCAGTTTGGCAACCTGTCTGGCCACGGTTTTGAAGCGAAATCAATGCAGTAACACGTTTGGGAAGGGGGCTCCCTCCACAACAACCATCTAGCATCCAGGAGGGATTGATACCCCCACAATGCAGCAAAATTAAGAAACACGAATTTGGCTCCTTGTGTTGCAAAAGTAAGTCAGACCTGCTGGCACAGGGGTCTCCTACCTCGGCCCCTTTAAGCCTGGAAGACTGGAGAATTCTGGGAATTGAAGTCCTCCAGGCTTAAAGGGGCCAAGGTTGGAGACCCCTGTGCTAAGCCCCCCCAGGAAAGGCCAGCATGAGAGTTGAGAAACCTCCTCTTGTCACTCTGGAGGAAACGGCCTGCCCAAGTTCACCAACCGAACTCTGCGGAAAGGAGTCTCCACCTCTGAGTGCATGCGCCACGCCCTGAATTCTTTCATTTCTCCTGCCATTTTCACACGGGGGGGACTTCAGCAGGGTGCCCTCCCCAACCTGGGAATTCAAAGCCCTGTGAGATTCCTGGCAGGGAAGGAACTCAGCTTCAGCCATAACTGTTTAAATAACAGCTTCTCCATTTAGAGCAGGTGAGATGTGCCAGGGGTCATGTGATTATCTCCTTTTGTGACCCGACAAGCCAAGTCAATGGGGGAATCCTATTTCACTTAACAACCATGTGGCTCAGTTAACCAATGCAAGGATTCACTTCACAGCTGTAAAATGAGGGCAAAACTCACGTATTAACAAGTGCTTCAACTGGGCAACATAAATTTTGGGCTCCCTTGCGGTCATAACCCGAGGACTACCTGTATACAAGCCAAAGCAAGGAGGATGCAATAGGAATACGAAGGCTTCTCTGCAATCAGGGAAGAATGACACCTGTCAATTGGATACGTCACAGGGGCCGAGTTCTTGTCTCGCCAAGGCAGCTCTCTTCACACAAACACACCCCTCTCCTCCTTCGTTCCACAACTTATTAAGGCCGCGGTTGAAAACCCTGGGAATTGGAAACCACACAACCGGAGGGCAGCCAGGTTGGAGAAGTCTATTGTAAGCCCATGGGTTTTAAGCCGCGATGGCGAAGTTTACACAATGTGTGCAAAGCCAACCTTAAAGCTTATGTAGCACTTTTGCTCCGACTGGCACGAAAGCTGAGACACCAGATAAGCCTCAGGTGGATATTTTATTTTCTTGCTGGCGGAGTGAGTAAAGGAGCAATTAATTAGGTGAGTCCTTCCCAGTGAAGGGAGAACTAGAATGAGAGTAACAGATCTATGGAAGCGATCTGGCTGAAAGCCGCTGAACGCCAACGGACTCCGTTTTCTCACGGCAAAGGATTTGGACATCTAAGCGTTACGTAAAGAAGGGTTTCCAAACCTCGTGACAAGAACAAGTTGCAACGTCTGTGTCCAACTGCGGAACCCAAGGTGCCCTAGGGGCAGGCATCAACTCACCACAAACTCAAAAGATACGTCACAGAAGGACTGCCGTCAAAACATAAACCAAAGGAGTCGGGACAGAAGGAAGCTTGCGAAACCAAGATGGGATCTCAAAGCGGTGCAATTCGATGTCCCTGCCTGGCTCTGACAGCCTCCAAGAAGAGCCTTCCGCCATTCAATCCCTGGGTTTCTAAAACCAGGACAATTCGAGAGAAGCTGCTTTGCATAAGCAGGGTTGGTTGCAATATAGATGAGCTATTTGCAGCTTAGCACGTTTCATGCATCTAGCCGGTTGGGTTGCCTTAAGATCCAATCTATCTTGCAAGGAGCCGGTAATTGGGTAATTGGGTTAAGTAAGGCTTTAAGTGACAGCCACTTAATAAGCTGTGCTCCGGTTTCCTCGCCTTTGGATTGGCGTGAACTCCATAAGAAGGAACCCTGTAATTTTGCAAACGGGGGAAAATTTACAGAATTTGATCAAGCAGCTTCTGTGATCTTGTCCCATGCTCCCATCTCAAAGGATGATGGGTTCGTGCATCCCCCTTAAAGCTCCTTGGCTCCTGAATTTATTTTATTTTTCCCCTCTCTTTTTCCTTTGTCACTCAAAAGTCTCACTTTGGGGATTATTGTAAACGTAGGCACAGCTGGCTCCTCAACACACCAGGCTCCTAAAACTCTGAGTTTGTCCATTTCTGCACAACTTGAAATTTTTTGAATAATCATCTCCTCTTATGGAACATGAGGCTGTTTCCAACATAGACATGGACAAATTAACCTTGGCATTAAAAGATAAAGACACTTCAATATATTACGACAGCTGGAACTGCTGGTACAAATGTACAGACCAAAGACAGACTTCACACTAAAAGGCAAAAGAAGATATGATAGAATTGTAGTAGTGATACACAGATATATGTAAGGATTAATTGTGTATATGGCATAAAATAAGGATAAAAAGGAGGTCTCACAAACTGTTGAAGATGAAAATGTTTTTAGTTGTTTTCTATATTTTTCTTTCTATTCTTTTTTTTTTCTTATTTTCTTTTTCTCTCTTACACTTATGTATGTGTTGTTGGTCTATTTTAATTGCAAAATCAATAAAGTGTATTAAAAAAAAAAACAACTCTGAGTTTAGTGCAGGGTGGTGAACACGCCCTTGTTATCCACAACCCACAAACAGGCAGCACGTGACAAATTTCAAAGTTGGGAAACGATCCTTTCGCCCTGCAAAAGGAAGCCATTAAAAAAAAACAAAAAAAAACACAAATCCACAGTGGACCAAAGGGATGGGAGGAACGCATAACTGACGAAAAGGAAGCAGGCAAAACGACCACAACGTCTAAGGCTTCCAAACCACTCACAAACATCGCTGGGCAAAAAAAAAAGGAACGTTTCTCTTCTTCAGCTCCGCCGTCCCCAAAGCCGCAAAACGGTTCAGTTCTCCAAGCAGAGCATCAGGGGAAAGGAACTCACCAGTTTCCGGAGCGTGCCTTCGTCCATGCTCAGGAGCGCCTCGTCGGACATGCCTGTCAGATTCCGCCCTGGGGGGGGGGGGCACTCCTCCTTCTGTCCAAAGAAGCCGGCCAGGCACAGAAAGGAAGGTCCCTCCAAAAGCTAGTTCAGGGTCGGAACGGACGGAGCCCTGGAAGCGAACAAGGTCCAGAGGGTCAGGCAGAGCATCAATCGGTTATCTCAGAAAGGCTCAATCCTAGGACCCCCAAGCCAAGAGGGTCTCCACTCCCCTCTTTTAAACTCCCAAGGAAAGTCGGAGTTTCCTCCCTCCCCCGCCCGATTCCTCGACTTTTCAGGGGGATGGAAAGGCAGCCTGGCTTCCTTAGGGCATCCCAGGGAATTGTTTGTCACCCAAGCCAGAGCTCCGGTGACTTCACTGCCAGCTAGTTGCCCAACAGGACTTTATCTAGCACTCTTTGGCACCCATGAAAAGTCTCTGGCATCCCTCCCTGCAAACGCCCCAGGTGAGGCATGCCCCAAGACTGCGGAGGAGGCAGGGATGAAGGAAATGAGAGGGCTTCCGTAGAATCAGCTCACTCCGCTCTTCGGCTGCCTGACTTGCGGGAGAGTGGCACATGGGCTGCGTGGGAGCAGGGACAGGACGTCAATGCCAGGGCAGACGCCCCCTCCCACGCTTCATTAGTGGATGTCATGCTACAGGAAATGTTTCATCCTGATCCAGGGCTCGTTACCCTTGTATGCAACCGAATCTCATTTTAATGCATGCTGATTAAAGTGTACACTTAAAGTGACAATAAAGTTATTCTATTCTTTATTCCATGCCATGCCATCCTGTTCTATTTCTATTTGCTTTTCTTTGCACTTTTTCCAAAGTGCTTTTTCTCAACATTATTCTATTCGATTCTATTCTATTCTACTCTATTCTGCATTCCTACTCTATTCTTAATTGTTAATTCCAATAGGCCGCACCCACCCAAGTTCACTGCTGACCCACTGCTGACCGACAGGTCCTGCCCACACAAACCATGCTGCCCTGGACACGCATTCACACAACCCTCTAAACCCGTGCAAGCCAATCTCCGCCGACCCTGCAAGGGAACCCGCTGGATCCTCGGCCAGCCAGCCAGCAGAGGTTCGGATGGATCCCAACACGCCCACCCACCCAGATCCCCGCTGCCACGCCGCCAGCTCCTCCTCCTCCTCCTCCTGCCCCTCCCCAACCGGGCGACCCTCTTCCCACCCACCCCCTTAATCCGGATCAAGGATGGGCTCCCCAATCCGGATCGGCTCGACGTACCTCGCCCGGCCGCGCAGAGCCATCCAAAGGCGCAGCAGCGCGGACACCGAGTAACCCAGCCCGCTCGCTGCGGATCCCGACTCGGCTCTGGACTCAGCCGAGCAGCGCAGCGAGGAGCCAGCCTTCCCGGAGCTCCGCCCCCTCTCCCTCGAATTAGCCAATGACAGGGCGCGCCTCCTCCCGACGGTCCCGGCCGCGCCCCTTTCCCTCCCCGTCATTGGTCGGTTTCTAACCGTCGAGCCGCCTCCTTGAGGCCGGGCGCGCTTGGCAGGTCGGGAATTGTCGTTTCTGGCATGCTCTGCCCTGGCGGGCGCGGAGGCTGGCTGGGGGGGGTGAAGTGGGGGGCGGGAGAGGAATCAAGCAGCCGTGGCTTGTATAGTGAGTTTCTCAAACGGGGAATAAAGTCTTTGGCTTGCATATCTGAAATGGTCTTGGGTCTCCTGCTTGAGTTGGGGTTGGACTAGAAGACCTCCAAGGTCCCTTCCAGCTCTAATATTC